GTAAGAAAACGGAGAGAGAGTGGATGAAATGATCAAATGGGAGGAAGCAATATGAGATACTTAAGGGTAGACACCTCACCGGTTTCGGATCGCCCTTTTTCCAACGCTCACATGATCGGCGAGTGCAAAAATCGGAAGCTCGCAACGTCGTTTCCTGACAACTAAAGTTAATTGACCGGAAATCCGGATTAGCGACCCGAAAATTGATGGTTTCGATCGGAGAACCGGGTGTGTGTGTGTCTCTTTGTATGTCGTTAGCTTCTTTTATCTTAAAGGAAAAGATTGCATACAAATTTATGAGCAACTTTGAAACCATTTTGTGATTTTAAGAAAATGTTAGAAAAATGAACGAAAACATTAATATTTTTTGTATATTTAAAACTTAATAGTTAATATTTCGTAAATATCAAATGAAAACTAACATAGCCTTAAGAGATTCGAAATGGCTGAGAAATGAAGTAGTAACACTTCTTTTATGACAGTTTACGTGTTTTTAAGCAAAATCATTAAAATTTTATAAAAAAAATACAGTTTCTTTTTTAATCAAAATCTTAATATAGTCGAAGAATACTGAATCATCAAAAACATTATGTAAAATTATGAACTTTTCAAAAAATATGTGAAAAATTAAGTTTTTATCTTATGTTTTGATTGATCAAAAATCAATGTCGTGAGATGTGAGAAAACGGAATATTTCCATCGGAACGAATGTTTCTCGTTCGTGTCTAATGTACATAATTAATTTCGGTTTTCCACCCTTAAACGAACCGCAGCACGTACGAAAACCGCACCACATCGGGGTAGAGAATTTACGATGCGCAACACAAAAGAATGAAAGAAAAACACACGGAATGCATAGGTGAAAAAGAGTGAGAAATAAAGAAAGAAGCGGTGAACGAACGTCTAATCAGCCAGAAAGGAAATCAAAAAAAAAAAAAGTAATACGAAAAACGCGATGTAATTTCATGAATCACGACCTCTTAATTGATGCTTTCAATCCCCGATGACTTCACGTGTTTTAGCTTTCTTTGTGTTAACTTTGGTGTTAATTAATTAATTAATTAATTCTTCAAATCTTAATGTTAACTTTTTCAATTTTTGTTATTGGTTTAGTTGTGTTAATTACGTTAATGTTGCAATGCGCAGACAACATGAAGGGTTGTTTTTGGAAGTGATGAACGGATGAATAGATAAAAGTACATGAAACAAAAAGAGTGAATAAAATGATACAAAGGCCCCAGTATAAGCATATTAAATTATGATTTTTTTTACTTTAATTATAGTATTCATATTCGCAATTAGAATTCTTGGTTGATGAGTTGTTAATTAAAAAAAAATCTACTAGTATACGCATATGTATTTTGTACTTTAATTTGAGTATTCATAGTTATAATTAACGCTTCTGCTTATTGAATAATACAATAAAACATGAAGACACTTTTATGACAATTTATATAGTAAATTTAAGTCTATTTTTTTTTCCAACTTTTACAGCTTATTACAACCAAACGAAAAATGTTACAAAGGCCGCAGTATAAGCATATCAAATTATATATTTTTTTACTTTAATTAGAGTATTAAATATCTACTTTCACAGCGTATAACAACCAAATGGTAATAGATATAAATCTACTAGTATGCGCATATTAAAGCCTGTATTTTTTACTTTAATTTAAGTATTCATAATGTTAATTAACGTGTATGCTTATTAAATAATGGAATAAAACGTGAAGACTCTTTTATGAAAATTTATATAGTAAATTTAAGTCTATTTTTTTCCAACTTTTACAGCTTATTACAACCAAACGAAAAATGTTACAAAGGCCGCAGTATAAGCATATTAAATTATATATTTTTTACTTTAATTAGAGTATTCATAGTCGTAATTACCATTCTTGGTCCATAAGTTACATAATAAAAGGTGGAATCATCGATTTTTTGTTAATTAAAAATATCTACTTTCACAGCGTATAACAACCAAATGGTAATAGATATAAATCTACTAGTATACGCATATTAAAGCCTGTATTTTTTACTTTAATTTAAGTATTCATAATGTTAATTAACGTGTATGCTTATTGCATAATGCTATAAAACGTGAAGACACTTTTATGACAATTTATATTGTAAATTTAAGTCCATTTTTTTCCAACTTTTACAGCATATTACAACTAAACGAAAAATGTTACAAAGGCCGCAGTATAAGCATATTAAATTATGATTTTTTTACTTTAATTAGAGTATACATAGTCGTAAATAGCATTCTTGGTTACTGAGTTACATAATAAAAGGTGGAATCATTATTTTTTTGTTAATTCCAAAAAAAATCTAGTTAGTTAGTTGTGTTAATTACGTTAATGTTGCAATGTGAAGACAACATGAAGGGTTGTTTTTGGAAGTGATGAACGGATGAATAGATAAAAGGCTTGATACCGCCACTATGCATGTAGATGAAACAAAAAGAGTGAATAACAAAAAAGGGATGCTCGATAAATTGGTTCTTTGTAGTGAAACCTCTCTATCGACTATCTCTGTGTGTTTGTGTATGTTCGTTGATTGATTGAAAGCAATGCTGCAGGCAGATAAACAGCGAAACTGGGGGATGGATGAGGGAATTTCGTTGTTGATGGCAGAACGAGAGCTGATGAAGAAGTATGTGTGTGTGTGCATTCGGACGTCGCTTCATCAAACTGCTCAGTTCCATCGGTTCTGGGAATGCAAACCACTTTGCTGCTATGATGATGATGATGGGTTTAGTAATAGTTATGTGTGTTAGTGTGCATGTGTGCGGTCTGCACACGTTAGCGCCCATTGAGTCGCGAAATGTGTGATTGATAACAATGCCCAGGGCCAGGACCTGCGGTCATCCTCATCCTTCGCTCCAGTCACCTCCGAACGTTCTATTAATTCAATAGCATTCAGAATCCGACACAAATCATCTACTCATTAGCTTTGTATTTGATCACAAAATGTAAACTTCAAAACTACAGTCGAAAAACTACAGTATCTTAAGATAAATAATCACAGCTCATTGTTAAAATATCAACAAAAAATTAACCTAATCATACATTTCATGACTAATCCAGATCTAGCATTGGTTGTATTTGGCTTAAGTATACCAATATAACTTAAAATATTAATAACACTATTACTTTAACCTAACCTAACTAACTGTAAACAGATATTAGTTAGTAGTACATTTAAAAATCATCACGCATCAATAATTGTTGTCCTATATCGATATAAATCAAATTTTTAATATATCCTAACATAATCAACATAACAAAATTAGTGCGAATCCTAAATCTAACATAACCTAAATAACTGTAAAGTATTCCGTCTAAACCTAACCTATGT